CCAAGTCTCAACTGACCAAACATGGGGAATGCAGATACACCCTTGAAGACATGATCAGTCAGGGCAGGGGTCTTCCAAGGAAAAAAAAGACCCTATTGAGTTTTCATCCCTGGTACCTTATACATACATACATACATACATATATATGCACATTATATATATATATATATATATATATTTGTACATTATATATATATATATATATGCACATATATACTTATATATATACACACACATATATATATATATATATATATATAATTACATTGGAGAAAGGAAACTAGTATTTATTTTCATGTAATTCACACTTTTTTTTAATGTACAAAGATATGGATATATGTAAAGAACTGTGAATGCAGAAATCAGTGAAAAATAATTATTTTGTTAAATATATACTTTTAGCTTTCATGAAGTCAAAAAAAAATTGTTTCTCAAGAAATATTGAGTCTAGCAAGAATTAAAATGTCTGATCAAAAAGTATCAGGACTGTTACCCTGGTCATAGAGCTAAAGTATGATTGACAGAATGACATTGAACTCTGTTGCATACTAAGTTATAATATTCTTCCGTTGGTTGAAAGGAAAGTGTGTAGAGTGTGGTCGTCTCACCTCACCACAGAGGTTCCATCAGTGATCATTTCAGAGAAAACTGAGCAGAGAATTTGCATCAAATTGGCCTCAGGGTAATAGCCATAGGATCCGAAACCAAGGTTCAGTCTTTGCAGTGGGAGACTCTAACCCTTCCAAGAAAGCACAAATGAGCTGAAGTAATATAAAGACACTGTTGACAGTCTTCCTTGACTACAAAGACATTGTTTATCATGAGAATGCTTCATCTGGTCAGGCAGTAAATTGTTTTGACATATTGCAGTATTTGCAGTATGATGTTTGTTGGAAAAGGAGAGAATTGCATGCATCCGGTGAGAGGAAACTCCACCATGACAATGCACCTGCCCATTCAGTACAACTTGTGCAGCAGTTTTTGAATAGTAACCCATAAATATACCATACCTTAAAACTATATTTTGATCTTGATAACTAGTTGGTGTCTTATGAAAAGCATATCATGCTTACTTTAATCTCCATTAGCATGTCTATTTTGTTTTAGACATTTCACCCCTAAGGAAGGTAGTAATGTCACTAAGATGTTAAGGGGCTACTAGAAGTGAAAGAGAATGAGAAGAATTTAAAAGAAAGAACCGGAAACACAATAATCAGAAAATGAAGGATAAATCTGTACTCTTGTTTAAAAGATGGAGAAGGAGTATGAACTCAGAAAAAAAATTGATTGATTTTTTTCTTTGACCATTGTGCAGCTTGGTATTTCAGTTTTGTTCTTCTACCATTTATACATGAATTCTGATGGTTTTTCTAAAGTGATATGACCTAAAAAATAATGATGTCTACACTGACATGTGTAAAATTTTCCATTGCAGCATTTTTTATAAGTATTGTCACATCAAAATAGCATGATTTGTTATGATTAACAAACTATTTAACATTCAAAATGCTCCCCCTTCATGTTCAATACAATGCTGAAACTTATCAGCAACACTTCTATGGAACATTTCACACATTCTTAAATTAATTTTTATTATTAATTTTGATATTTCATTTATGGAAAAATGTCATAACTGAGATAATATAAAAATAAGATCATATAAATTACATAAGATGATGCTGATACTTGTAGATACCCTTCTCAGTTGAAATTGAAAAATCAAATTAACTTTTCCACATATGTTTTGCAAAAATAAAGGCCGTAACAGCGGAGAACAACGCTTAACTCAAATAATGCTACTTTTTATTGTATTCTTACTGGTTTTCCATACACTTGAATTACAGCCATTTTATGGGCACAAAAGCCATCTGAAATTATTATTTTTTTTATATCGTTTGGCTCTTCTGATTGTTATAATCTATAGAATTTATAATGCTAAAAGATAGATCTACTTAATAACACCATTGACTGAATGCCATTTTCACTAATTTTAGAATATTTAACAATTTTAATGTAAAAATAATAAAGTAATTTAAGAAATAACAAATAATTGTTTTTGAAATTTATTTTTCATCAAAAAAGTTTTTTGCTTTCAGGCAATATTATCCATATTCATAAAAACAACTAAAAGCAACTAAAAAAAAAGCATTTGAAATTAAATAATATCTTTGTTTTATTGAGTTTTGTATGTTATAATTCAGAGGTAGGGGAAGTCCAATTAAAAAAAAATACATGATTTACCTTCCCCAAAGCCTTATGCTTTTAACTAATATAATCACTAAACTGAACAGTATTGAATTTCTAGAGTTTTCATAAAATTAGTTATGGGGGTAGGTAATAAATATATAAAAAAAAAATTTTTGTTATGACTTTAAAAAAAGAAAACATATTTATAATTATTTCCATCATTTGTGAATAGTTTCTGAAAGTTTCATTAACATCTGACAATTATTTTTATTTTTGCAAGATTTTCCAAATTAATGTCTGTCATACAAAAAAAAAATGTGATAAAATTTTGTTATAAATGTTTTATATATTCTGCTGATACAAAAAGAAACAAGGTTTTTTCAATCAAAAATTAGAATGTTCTAAAAAGATGAAAAAATTAAAAAAAATACTTTGTTCTTTCCTCTTAATAATAACATAAAAATTTAAACGATAAAATTTTGTTTTTGTCGTGCTATACTCTTTTTTTTAGCAATCTCTCGGAGGTACCTATAAGGAAATATATATATATATTTATATGTATTAGGGATATGTGTGTGTGTGTGTGTGTGTGTGTGTGCATTTGTACTGTTTACTTGTGCATTAATATAATGTTAATTGTCAATCACATTGTTTAATGGAAGATTTTCCTGTGTGGTAAACTGATCATAAGGAAAGTCTCAAATGGTGATTTCTACCTAACCATCTCCCAAACTAGTAGGATAGGTCCTGTCTCAGCCAGAGAAACCCAAATTCTCCTACCTATTCCTCCCACATGACAGTGTCATTGACATTTGCTCTCACTTGAACATTCAGTCAAGAATCCACCAAACCTTTGCTAGTCTTAATGTGTATCTTCAACAAATTTTTTTTTACTTTTTTTTTTATTGTTTTAACTGTTTACTCTTTCCTCTTTATGTATTGTAAAGTAATCCTCATATTCTTACTTTTCTTTTTTCTTTTTACTTAAATTTCTGTCTTAACCTTTGCTTCAATGCAAGTGTGTGTGTGTGTGTGTGCACACCTGCACACTTAAAATTTTATAGCTATCAACCCCATCCTTAATACTTCTTCTGCCCCCTTGGCCAGCTGGTTCTAATGAATTTGCAAAACAACTGTCAATTCCCACCTTGTGTCTGTGACAGGAGAAATTTTAATTCTCAGTCCAAACTCACTTTCTTTTTTTTTTTTTTTTTTTTTTTTTTTTTAAAGTAGAATAAATAACTTTCCTATGCATGCCCTCACCCTAACGACTATGCTCCTGATACTAACTCAAATGGGGGTAGGAGATGAACATGCACCCCCCCTGAGCAATGTTCATTACACTTCTCCCAATGGAGAAGTGTAATGAAATGCATAGCAAAAGTTTTACCCCACGCTCCATAGGCAAATCAGACCATTCCTTAGTCAATGTCCACATTAATTCCAAACCAATGTCATTCCCTATTTACCATTCCATAGAATGGTTTAACACTATGCATAGGTAGACTGGGACAGCTTTCAGTCCTGTATAACAGAAGCCCCTCTCCCAATTTTTTTCAAACATGCTGCCCCCAAAACTTCTCTAATCTTTGAATGGATCCTTTCTGGAATGGAGTGTTTCATAACTGCCAAAAATTCCAGCAAAAATCAAAGTTACATTTCATCACTATTGATCAGACCTCGAACTACCACCAGTCACAATGAATATATGTGCCCACCCCTCGAGGAGGTATTGTGCCTTAAAAGAATATTAGGCCTCAAATTCACACCCGACTTCATGTTGAACTCTTATATACAGTCTATTGCTAAAGATGCAAGTAAAATGATTGGCTCCCTGTACCTCTCCAGTAAGTACCTGACTCCTCATGCTATCCTCTACCTTTTTATAAGAGCCAGATCAGGCCGAAAATGAAGTACTGTTGACATATTTGGATGGGAGTTGCCCAGTCCTCACTTTCCAGTCTTGATAAAGTTCAAAAGTGTCTCCAAGTCCTTGTGGGTGATGAATTATTTCCCACCCTGCAACCTCTTTCTCTCACAGACAGGATGAGGCGAGTCTCTCTCTTCTCTATCACTACTTCCATGGAAAGTGCTTGGATGAACTACATTCCTTGGTTCCGCCTCTAACCTTCACAGCTAAAACCCACCATGCCACTTACATAGTAGCAAACCACTCTCATTCCCTCTGTATTCCACTCAAACAGCTTCTGCCCTGTGGAACAGACTCCCAAGAGGATGTTTCTCTGATTAATACAGTCTTAACCTATTCAAGTTTAAAGTTAACCATTATCTTCCCCTCCTATCTATATAAACTGCTTAATATAACACTTTATCTCAAGTGGAGCCCAGATCTTGTACAAGGTCAAACCTTAATCTAAAAAAGATATAATTTATGTATGAATTGCATATATATTATAGTGGTACATTAATAAATCTGTAGGTACATTTATTTTATATAGCAAATATTTATTTTTCAACATAACCTCTTTCTTTATTAATGCCTTTAATCCAGTGATAAATATTAATAAATAAATCAAATATTATACATTGAAAATTTCAAATCAATAACTATGTGTAAAAGTGCAAACGTATTGATCAACTTTTGTATTTGTGCTTTTGTTTCTTCTGTCTCAGACATTGTTGTGCAAATTCATATTAAAATGACTCAAGGGTATCGCTGTTATTTACAGAAATGGTTTTAATTTTAAGCCAGAATTTAAAATGAATAAATGAATGTAATTGTTTTTCATAGGTATGAATCCAAGCTGATGATTCCCAAGAAGCAAGAAGTTAAAAGTTTGGCATTAAAAGACATGGACATTCCGAATAATGAAACCAAGGAGGTAAAATTGTCTTTTAATATGAGATAAATAAAAAACATTATATATATTCTGACATGCAGGGCTGATGCAAGGGTCTCATGCCCCTCCCCAAATTTATGATACGGCCCCCTCACACTATTACTACATTCCAATTTACATAAGGTAGTCTTCATGTAAAACACAAATTTTATTGTAACCCAATTATGTACAATAATGTATTATATGCAGTATATGTGAAAATAAATACAATGTATCTAAATACAAATTAGAGACATGTCATAATAGATCATTCCAGCTTATAGAAATTTTTAAATGTAGCCGTCTCTTCTACTCCAATAGCTTCATACCTTGCTTCTCTCGCCTGTGGAACACCCTTCCCAATTACTGTTTCCCTGAAAGCTATAATCTCCAACTATTCAAATGTAATGTCAATCGACACCTCCAGTTACCTTGATCTACCCATGATCCTTCTCCTCATCCTTTCTTCTATCACTCCTATCAGCTCTCGCTCCAAATCTTCTGCAACCCCCTGCATCCTAGTGGCTTCACGCCTTGCTCGGGGCGTAATGCTTAAAAAAAAAAATAATTCAACAATGTTTTGCACCAATTTTTAAAGTCAACTTGAGATTTTTCTTATTACAAAGCTGAAGAATTTTAACACCTTCAACATTACAGACAAAAATAGTGAATTTTATATAGTGCTTTTTTTTACACTTAGAATAGGTAAAACAAATTCATGGATTTGTACAAACGAAAAAAAAACAGAATGATGTCAAGATCCATGAAAAATTTTCACCTTTTAATTGTCGGTTGTGCTTAGTTTAATTTGTAGTGTATATAAATGTAGGTAGAAAAAGGCAAATCTTGATAAGATATTGGGGGTCATAAAGCACTACCCAGGACACTCAATCAGGCTTCTCCTGTGTCAGATGGTTCAGGAGTGGTATGCACCAGCCCTCCTAACATATACTTGTTCTTTCTGAAGTTTTTACTCTATTCCTTAACATTTTTCCAAATCTTAAATTATTTTTTTTCTCAATGTTAATTAATTAAAAGCCTTAGAATGATTTTTCTAATACAAAACTAAAATTCACATCTGGAAAGGAGTAAATCAAAACAACAGTATATAGTTATGATTAAGTAACAACTATGACACATCAATTTCTCTAACAGTTAACAATAAAACTTATGTTAGTAACATCACCAAACCAAGGCCATCTTAACAACATTATGGGCCTGTGGGCAAACCAGTGGGCTGGGGCTCCTATGACAATCACTCACAGGAATAAAAAGTATAAAAAGTCAATACTATTAAAAACATATTTATTTTATTTGCACTTCAACAAAACTTGTGTTAAAAACTTGTATTAAAAACATGCTATACAGCAGTAACTAATCAACTTGATAAACATTTGAGCAATGCACAATGCTTGAAAAAAACAGTAACCCACACAGATTAGATGACACATGAAATTACTATGAACCTATTATTATAACAAGCATTTGTGGCATTTCTTTTCAAAGAATTGCTTTATTATTGGCTGGAAGTCAATGATTTTCAGGAATAGAAAGTCATTTTTCCAATGAAAGCCAGTTCAAAAGATGCTGCCCCATTTTTTATAAGTTTCAGCCTTGAAAAAGAACATTCTTCTGTACATTTGGGAATACAGATTTCAAATTTTCCAAAATTATTTTTCTGTACAGTACAGGGAGAGTTTCACAATTTTTATCAAGAGCCATTTACTGCTTGAGATACTCACATTCATTTAAAAGGTCATCATAATTCAGGTCTTTGTGATACATATTAGCCAGTTGTTCACACTTTTTCTGTAGTGTATCAGAAGCAATGGTTTTCACTTCACTGAAGAAAGAAAATAGATTTCTAATATGTGAATAAGCCTCTGGATGTTTTGTTAGTTCAAAGATTAGAATGTCCAGAATAGGGAAGAAAGTTTCCACCTTGAATTTTTCAGTTTTACTAAGAAATACATTTTCTACTGATCCATCATATCTATGCACACTTTGTTTTCATTCCCATTTTTTCCTATCACTGTCATCTGTATCTGGACATATACTCCTGGCTTTGAATTCATATTCACTAAATTTGTCTCTAGTTTCCTGAATATAGGTTTTCAGAGACTTAAGAAAATTCATGGTAACAAGGATGTTGACATCCTTTGAGTGCAAAACCTTGTTTTTTTTTTTGTTTATTCTTTCTAGCATGTCATTCCAAAGAATTGTGAGAAAGATTGTTTCCAGGTTTTTCCATTTTTTTGTTCAATCCTTCTGCCCCTTGCCTTGTGTTCACTTGCTGATCATTGTCAGCTGATAGAGAATCCAGTGCACGTTTTATTTTCTCAAAACCCCCATACAGAGCATGAACAGCATCAAAATGTGCTGACCATTGTGCATCAGACAGACACTTAGCCACAACATCTTTTCCTAGAGATGATGTCAATACATTCCAGCTATGAATAAAACCACCAAAAAAAGAAAACAGATGCTGAAAAAATGCAAAGAATTTTAGAGTTTGTAGACAACACTATGCTGCTTTTACTAACACCAAGTTCAAGTTGTGTTCAACACAGGGGATATAAATTGCAAACTCAGTGGGGTGATGAATCCGTGCATGCAATCCAGTATATTGTCCAGACATATTTGAGGCATTATCGTATGACGGACCACACCAGTTTGATAGTGGAATTTTGTTCTCATTAAGAAAATCTACAATGGTGTCTGTTAGATCTTTTGCTCCATGAGAAAAGATGGGGATGAACATCATGAAACGTTCCATAGGCTTACAGCCTTTAATGTATAGGACGGTAAATGTTAGTTGATTTATTTGTGGGATGTCTGGAGTGGAATCTACACTGACTGAATAATACTTTGACTCTTTTACTTCAAGAATAGTATAAAGAACTTGTTCCATTAATTCAATAAATTCCTCATATTTGTAGATAAATATGACGGATTCCCTTTTCCAGGATTTCAATACATTTTGAGATGTTCTTCCAAGAAAGAGTCAAATTCACACAGCAACTCTACTATATTCAAATAGTTGCCATTTTTTACTGACCCAATAATCTGATTTTCTCCACAAAATGGCAAAACTCTGGAGGCAAGAAAGCAAATTACAGAAACTATATGTGTCAATACTTTATGTCAATATTCTTGCTCTGATGTTGCCCAAATAACAAAGAATCTATACTTCCAGTTTCTTTATGCCTTATCAAATATACTGTCATGCACCTTCGATGTTCTTTTCCATTTTCATGTTCTACAATAACATTGCTGTACTTCCAGTCATTGGACTCCAATGTAGCAAAGAGAGATTCTTTCATGAGCAATAGCCGACATACAAAGAAGTACAAACTACTTGAGGATGTTGAATAATGTCGCCATTCACTTTTTACACACTCGCCATTCCTGAGTTAACGTTTGAACACATTATTTGATAAATATCTTGCTTTCATGTTTTCTACTCCAGCTGTTTTATACACTCTGTGTGAGTTTGAAAGTTTGCTATCATGATTTTGACATGATTAGGGTGCCCACTACAAATCCAGTAATCTATTGTGTTAGTATCATTAATGTTCCATAGCCCTGGATCTGTCTCTTGGATTGCAAACTCCTTTACTGTTACAGATTCCTTTCATAAAATGTCACCAGTAGCAACAGGCAATGATGGTATATCTGCTGAAACTGGATGATTGTTAGCAGGAATAGATCTAGATGTGGATGTTATATCTGAAGGAATGCTATGAGTGGCTGTCATTGCACCTGTGTTGAGCCAAAATGTCAATTTTGGAGGTTTTCCTATTTTCTCCTTCTCCTCTACAACTTTCTTCTTCTGTGCTACACTCAAAACATTATGTTTTATTTCTGCTGAAAGAGTTATTCACCTGGAAATATATATCTTAAGTATTTAGTATTTAGTCCCACACTAGGATGTAGGGTTATACTATATAAATGTGCTTGTAACAAGTCCTACATATTTAAAGATTCTGCTTCTATAATGAATATGTCCTTCCTTTAATTGTACGAACAATATTTATTCTTAATACCACTCTCTACTGTGTGCTGATTCACAAAACTGCTGGACAAGACCTAGATCTAGCTTAGTGGCATAGCTGGGGTGTCTGGCACTAATCTAGCCTCTTCTATGTATAGGTCTACATGACTACATTCAATACTTTTCTCAACTTGCACAATTAAAAGCTTATCCATTCATATATTCACAAACTATCAATACCTGGTAATTAGTACTGCATTATAAATTCATAATCTTAAATGACCACTACATGGATACCATACAAGTGTTCAATATCAGGTTCAATCACTAATAATCTATGCATAGCCCTCTACCTGGGTTCATATACAATGTATAAATATATTCAATAAGCATGTCATTGCTAAGTACTGCAAATGTTACTTCTTTTTTCATATTTGCATTAATGTTTAAATCAAAATATGTAGCTCGTTGTAATAGGTGAAATTCTTTATCCAAATTGGATGAAGAAAGAAATTCTTCAACAGAAAACAACATTTTTAAACAAATACAAATACAAAGTCAGTTTTATCAAAAGAAGTATCTGAAGAGAAATATGAATTACTTTCTGTTATATTCCGTGCTAATAGGAATATATACTTGACAAACACGGTGGATAAAATAAGTAAAGGTTTATTGTAAAAAAAACAGTACAATAAGAATAAAGGTAACAGTTATGCACAAGGTCTTCGCAAGTCAATCCAATAGTGAATGCTACTATTGGAAGATCGGTAGTTCTCGTGTAATCTGAGTTGTACTTAACAGATCCCAGCTAGAATATTAACACCCCCCCACGAGGGTTTCATGTGGCACAAGGCTGGGTTTAACGTGGGTTCTCCAAGCCCATAGGCTCAGCCAAAAATATTCCCTATCAAACCCGTATAAACAGGTTCAGGGGCAGTCTACCTCCCCGAACGAGAGACTGTCCTCGTCTAGGTTCCTCTCTGCCCGAAGGCAGAGAGTTCAACAGTCTAGCTGGAACAGATACTTATAGGTAGTTACTACCTATAGTGTAGTCACTCATGGGGGTGACAGGTTATTCCATTACATTACTTTCTTTGTTGTTGTTGTTGTTGTTGTTGTTGTTGAGATGAACATCAAATGAGAAAATCATTTGTTTTAGTTAAGACAGCTGAATTGTTGTTTTTGTTTTGAAATGAACAGTAAAGCTTAGGACGAGCCCTCATTTTGTCACCGGTTGCAACAAAAATACAAAAAAGAGAGAGGAAGAAGGTGAAAGAAAAGGAGAATAATGAAATACTATCAATGCTAGAGTTTTATAACAATGAAAATAATTTATTTACAAAAGTAAGAATATAAATATATTACAATTAAATATTTAAAACAATATTGATTCAGTCTAGGGGTAATTTAAGAATTAAATCAAACCCAAGAAAAAAGTAAAAGATAATAGGTGGACAGCCTCTTTGAAGAAAGTCCTCACCATTTCCAGTGTCTTCTCGGTCAAAATAGGACATTCTGCCAATTTCTTTTTTATTTGGCTGTCCACAATTTCTTGAACTTTGTATCTCTTAATACATTTTGTCTTTTCACTATCTTTCCTAATACTTATTCTGCCATCCATTTACACAAGTTCATTAGATAGGTTATTTGCTGCTTTCCTCTGTCCCTCTGGCAGTTAATATGTCATGATAGCTTCCAATTTTCTAAGCCATCTTTTCTCATTATCTACCCTAGTGAACTTTAAAATAAGAGATTTTTTCCAAAATCTTTACAATAATTGAATTATATTTAATTCTTCTTCTTCTTTTTTTTTGTGAAATTGTATTAATATTCCATGAAAAAATTGAAATAACGTTTACTGAGAATGTTTACAGGTATTTTTCCCCCTTCTTTTTCTAAAAATTGTATAATCAACAGTTTTTGAAAAGCAACTTTCTCTTTCAAAATGCTTTAAATTTATTCATGATGAATATTTTTTAATTTACACAAAAATGCAAATCATAGCAAAATAAATAAATCATTAAAAACTTATCTTTAAGAATTTAAATGCTTTGTCACTTGTTATATTATGTCTTCTTAATTCCACTTCTTTTATTGTTCTCTCTCCTTAATGATGTTTCCATTTTCTTATATTCTCTCACACTCAGTAAGCACTTGAGTGTTAGTGGCTTTATTGCCTTGCTTGGGGTGGAGAATGATTAAAAAATATTGAAATTTTATTAAAAATTTTATAAAATATATGAAGAATTGCAAAGTATCAAGATTGGCAGATGTAAGTGTATAGAAAATTAAATTTGTGTTATATTCCATGCTAACAAGAATATATGCTTGACAAACACAGTGGATAAAATAAGTAAAAGTTTATTGTAATAACCAGTACAATAAGAAATAATGTAACAGTTCTTTGCACGATCATCATAAGTCAATCCAGTAGTGAGTGCTACTATTGGAAGGTCGGTAGTTCTCATGTAAGTCTGAGTCGTATTCAACATATCCCAGCTAGACTGCTGTAGTTCATTGCCTTACATAGACTTATAGGTAGTTACTACCTATAGTGAAGTCACTCATGAGGGTGACAGGTTATTCCATTACATCAATTTGCAAATTTAGTTAGCATATATAATAAATGTTTATAAAATAAAATATATATTCTGTAATAATTAATACAATCAATTTTTATCTGAGTCCTGAAAAGCAAAGAATTGTGAAACCCCTTGATATATGTTAAATTATATAATTTTATATACATCAATAAGTGTCATTACTATTATTTTATTATTATTTTAAAATATATGACCTTTAAAAATATACATGCCAAAGAAAAAAACCTTTATTTGTTGGTTAAACATTTACCTGAGACATTATACAAAAACACATTGATATATGTTGACAGATTCTCTTTGCATTTTTCCCTTTTTTCTTTCATATTTTTTTTTTTATGTTTTGCATATGGTTTAAACAAAAAAGAAATTTAGTGAAAATTTTCAAAAGAATGTTACTGAAATATTTTTCCAGATAGGGAGCAATAATACTTCTTCAACCTGCAATATAGAAATGTCTACAAAATTGGATGACTGTTTGGACAAGTTCCGAGAATTACCAGATTGCTCTCAAAGCAAATTGTGGTGCTTAGTCAATGAAATGCCAACTTACCCTGGAGCTGATAACAACAAGACATACCAAGAAAATGCACTCAAACAAAAGGTAATCATTGTTAAAACCCAAAATGTTTAAACTAGTTCTTGGGAATATTTTTTGACATCTTACTATGTATTTTTTTAGCATATCTACAGAATATTCATTTTCCTCTGTAGCTATTTTGGGATCTGTAATATTTCAAAGCATCTATAAAAATCTCAAAATAGGAATGCATTTGCTTTTATTTCAATTACCATTTACCAAGTGGAATTTATGAATATAAATGAGTTCTGTCTATGAAATTAAATATTAAACAAGATAGAAGTTTGGTTTTGGGGGTGGGGTTGAAGAAAAAATCTCTATTCAATTAAAAGATGATTTCACTATCCAGAGAAGCGAAGACTTTATCTAGAGTAAAGTCTGTTAAAATATGGCGATTGTAGAAAATTCACTCATCCAGGTTAACAATCCAAATGTCTGAATTGTAAACAATAATAAAATAAAAATAAAGAAAACAGAGGTAATGGTTTTGGTAAAGAAGCTGTCTGAATAGAACTTACTTCTTATCAAAGGAAGACAAAGTGAATGAGGATAGTGCATTACCATTAACATAGCATGGCAGGTCCTAGCTTGTTCAAACAAAGAATGTAACTTGTCTGAACATCTGCTATAATACTAGTAGTGATAGAGCAGTGATAGCCTAGCAACATTTCATCTGTAAGATAAAGGTTACAGGGTGGAGAATAATTCATCACCCTCAAGGCCACATAAAGGCTTTTAGACTCTATCAAGGCTGCAGCCTATACAAACCTAAAGGAAAATCTGGCTCTAGTTAAAAACATGTGAATATCAACAGGAAAATATCATTTTGGGATTGTAATGGTATCATCATATCTTAAGAGTTCATATATACATATTTCATGACATATATTATGAGTTCAATATTATCAACAGGAAGATGATTTTTTTTTTTTGGCGGGGGGTGCAATATCAATAATATTATGATAATAATATGATATAATGATTGAGATATATATAAACAGCATTTACATCAGTATATTTATAAATCTACAGCCTAATGATGGCTACAAACATTTATTTTACACAACAAATATTTACTTTTCAACATTTTCTTGTCAATGAGCTTGATCCACATTTTTCCCATAGCATATTTTTAGGTTTGTCATACTGCCTCCTGCTCATATCTGCTTATACTTGGTACGATTGTGGTCACATGACTGAAGTTTGAGCTTGATCATGCCAATTTTCTTGCTGCTGATACACTGTAAACATGGCTGCTCTGCTAGCAGTGTTCACCAAGGAGGAACAAAGAGCAATGATCTGAATCTACAGAGAACATGCTACCTCATCAATGGTAACTCACCAGTTTGCCATTACCATCTCTTGAGTTTGCTGAATCTTCTCACCAGTGGTGTAGTTTGACAGGCATCCTGCCCCTTCTTTGTGTGTCACACTTGACTGGACATATTTAAACTTTTTACTCTCTATTTGGTAGTGCATTGTCAACATATTGTGTTAAAAGCCTCCAATGAATTTCATCCCCTGACACACCTTCCAACCAGAGAAATCAGGTCACTGCTCTTTATTGCTTCTTGGTGCACACTGCTAGTGGAGCCGCCATATTTACCCTGTAACAGCTACAAGAAAACTGGCACAGTCAAGCTCAATCTTCGATCACATGACCACAATAGTACCAACTATAAGCACGAATGGGCAGAAGACAGTGTGACAAACCTAAAGATATATTATAGTGAAAGTGTGGATAAATTTTGACTTACTCTTGTATATAATTGGCTACAGACTTACTAATCTACACTTGTGTGTGTTTGTATATATAGTCATAAAATTTTAGTGACAACAGTATATACAGGATGATTTAGCCTTCTCCACCTGTAAAAATGAACAGCCAGATAACATATGTGACATAATAGGTAAATATGTAGTGTAGCTGTGGAAGAGGGTTTGTGTGGAAGCCATGGGATACAGGCAGTAATTAATACCATTTGACTACAAAATGATTGTTGGAGACTAAAAATGGACCACTCTTTCTAAGGTAGAAACAGAATGAGGTTTTCTTGGGCCACAGGAGTAAGGGTATATGACTATGGGTAGTATTAATTTCTATTTTAAATATAACAAAGTAATGCTTTTTTATTACTATGAACATTATTTTAGTGGGTACACATATTTCAGGTACTATCTCTGTCTTTTTTTATTTCCTTAAACAGTGAAATTAATAACAACTGCGTTAGATTGAGAAGTCCTACTAAAGAAAGATTGTACCTCTGAGAGGAATTGAACTTGCATACCTTTTTCCAGCAAGGAAACCACTTCTATAGCCAAAACATGCCTTTATCAAACATACTGTGTTGATAGAGCAAGGTTTGAATTACCTATTTAAGAAATGCACATTTCTCATTGGGACTTCTACGAATCTATATTTGCTGGCTTCAGCTTTGCACCCAACACATAAACCACAATAATATTTGAATGGATTTTTTATCTAACATTATTTCTTATTACTGTAAACATTATTTTTAGATGATCAATGAGAGATATATTCCTTAAATAGTTAATTCAAACCTTCCTCTATCAATGCAGCCTCTATGGCCAAATTGGTAAAGGCAGTTTCCCTGATGATACAGGTTTGATTCCTGTCAGAAGCACAATCTCTCTTTAGTAGGACTTCTCATTCTAAATTGGTTCTTACTAATTTCACTGTTTAAAAAATAAAAAACAGGGATAGCAACTCAAATACATGTACTAAAATTCCCAGTTTTGAAATGGAAAAACCACATCCTTCAACTTCTTTCATTCAATGCATCAATTCCCCCCCCCCCACCAGATGGATTCTGTTGCTGCATTTGCATTGACACCTTTATGAAACTCATAGGGTAAAATATTGTGTTCTTTAGTTGAGATGAATATAGGGGCAAGTTCTGAACAATTTTATTAATAATATTCTTATAATCTAAAAGAAAAAGATATAAATTACTCATAGCACTATTACTAAACAACTTAAAGAGGCAATACTGTAATAAATTTTGTTCAACATTTTCACCTCAAAAATTGGACAGAACTTTTGTTCCAGCTTGATGTGTAAATTTCTTCCTCCAAAGGTTTTCTTTATTATCTGTAAAAATTTACAAAATTTCAAGAAGTTTTTCAGATGTTAACAATATTGAATATGCCGAATGGAAGTACTGTTAAAAGCTGGGATCATTAATATCTATTAAAATTCATGCTGAAAGTAGTAACTGTAATAAAATGATTGACTAATTAAGAAACGAATAGGAAAATCTTTATAAATTTATCATATTTCATTACTTAGTTTCACCAGAAATCAAAGCAAAATAATGCAAGGTTATATTTTAATTTCTAAATTCTGTCATTTTGGTTTCATTTATTTTCTAAACATCACATGTATATCTTATGACATTAGTGTTTATGTATGTATCAACTTTTAAATTCCATGTTTTTTTTCTTTGGTTGTCTAGACATCACGTGTATATTATGGTGTCTGTTATTGGGTTTAATTCTTAAAATGTTAATATAATTTAAGTGTGTATTAGAAATTGTGTGTACTTTGTATGATAAATATGATGAAAGTGAATGTGTAATATCATCTGAAAAGAAAATCTTGAAAATTTGTATTATTTCTGTATTAGTCATTGAGCCCCTGTACTGCTTTTCGGTTAAATATAAATCTTGCATAACAGCTTTTCAAAAAAATAGTTTTTCTATTAAATGATAAAAAATTAATGTAAAAATTTGTTTCAAGCATATTTGATTATTTTTCTGCAATTTTTTTTAGGTTGAACAATTGATTGCTGAAAATATTAAACTGAGTGCTGAGAAGGCATTACTTATTGATGAATTAAAAGATATGAAAGATAAAGGGGAACACAGAGATACTTTTAAACTCCATAAATTACAAAATGAATGCAACAGACTAAGAAGAGAAAATCAAACACTAAGAGACAACTCTACAGAATTACAATGCAAGATAAATGATCAATCAGAAACTGTCTCTGAGCTGACACAACAAAATAATCAATACAGAGATCAGGTGGTTCAACTTGAGAACAACAAACAACTTCTCACAGACAATATATCCAAGTTAAACATGCAGCTTGAGCACAGTGCCATGAAAATAACTGGCCTTCAGTAAGTCTATGTTATTTTCTTATTTAATAAATTTACTGAGGAATTTATTTTACATTGCTTAGGAGAAAATGAGTCTCATCAATTATATAACCTGGTAAATACAGACTTTTGATATACTGACTTTGCAGGAAATTTGTCTCGGCTTTCCCACATGAAAGGGTTGAGGTTAAAAAATTGCGACAAATATTGAATAAAAACAGCAATGCAGACGAATAAAGTAAGACTCAAAACTCCTGCTTGGTGTGTAACAATAAAAGAAGAAAATGTTTATTTACATATACAAAAAAAATGGAAAAGGGATAAACACAATTAGGAGAGAAAGAAAGGGAGAAGAAAAAGAAGAGAAAATGTTCATAAAAGAAAAAAAAAGACTTGCTTGAAATATTTCTCTGAGAAAAAACACTCACAGTTTTCTTCACAGTTCTTGTAGAGCAGGAAAATGTTGGTAGATATAGGAATTTTGCAGTTGAGTGAGTTCATAGGTCAATGACAGAAGGCTTGTAGGTGAAAGGAGGCAGCTTTCAACTGGTCTCTAATAGTGGGCCAATGTTTGTTCTTGACAGCCCTTTAGTAGGTAGTTCTTTGTTGAAAGTGGTTCCGAAGTTGACTGGTGTTCTCTATCTCCGACCTCACAGATGGTTGTCAAATTCTCACTGCCAAATAGGCAAAGATTCTTCAAATTTATGGAGATTTGGGAGGCTCAGAAGAATTGGGGGCTTTTCCCTCTAAAATTGTTATACAAATATCCTGGCCCCTTCATTGGTCAGAAAATATATTCTTATCTCTGATAAGAATCAAGACTTTGGAAGCCGGGTTTTGAAAGCAAGGAAAAAGGTCGGAGTGAACAAGCTGTGGGGTTTCCCCCAGACTTTATGGCACCAGGGAAAGAATAATGGTGGTGGAATTCCTTTTTATAATTTTCCAGCTCTCTCGTTAATCAGAAAATATATTCTTATCTCTGATAAGAATCAAGGTTTTGAGAGCTGATTTTGAAAGTAAGGAAAGGGGTTAGAGTGAGGATTGGAAAAATAGGCTAGAATGTGAACTTATAAAATATTGTATTTGTGGCTCTCAAATTAAATTCCAATAACATAGCTAACTTAGAATCTTTGTACTGAAACATCTGGAAAAGATTGTTGCAGCACACTAGTTAGACTAAAAGTAGTGCCAACAATATTTTGCACACATAAATGACAGGTGTAAGGAAATAGAATGAATTTCAACAAGGTGATATTTTATATTTTTGTGTTTTTATATATCTGAGTAGCAAAGGAGAGAAAATAAACAAGTATGAATGTAAAAGAAAGAAAACATTAAAAGTTAGGAATTATGTGAATGATACATATATATGTATGTGTGTGTGGGGAAAAGTTCACTTACTAAGAGGAAAGAAATCCCCATGCCTGGGGAAGTCCCAGTTGGCATTGTCTCTTCTACCACATGCTAGAAGAAAAATAGGAACAAGAGAACAAAGACAAGAAGTGTCCCATTTTTATAGATACTTGCCAGTGTTCTCTAATGACTTCTTGACAAACCAGGTGAAGATATGTGGAAGTAACCTACACGATAAAATGCTATCATTTCCATTTTTACAATTGAAACAGAGAGATGGATGCAACCCACTTAGAGCTTCATGAAATAATTCTGATTTAAACTTACTATTGATCACACAAAAGGATTCATCCAGCCATTGTTGCATAAATTTTTATTGTTAAATTCTAATCCCTGTTCTAACTTTGTGTTAATTTTATGTTACTTACGATAAAATGCAAAGATTATTGAATTGGAAAACAAACAGTGAACAGTTTCACATTAATGGCCTTGAGAAAGATATCAATTTTACTTTTCCTGTATTCTCTTTGATTACTGGTCAATTTATTAATGACTTTGTCATTAGAACTCCTCCTTAATAATGTGCTCAGTCATTTTGTCCATTGTCTGAAATTCTCAACTTTTCATTCTTATTAGCTTTCGTGATATAGAAATTGTGAGTTCAATTCATGGATCAAAGACTTAGACTTTGTGGAAGCAGGGCAATCAATAACTGAGCAGTACTAAATAAGAATAAGATGAGATGGTCAGCAGAACAAGAACAATAAATATGACAATAAGACTATTGTTGCTTACACTGTTGAGTGTAAATAATGATAACTTCTTGTCCCAAAAATTCAGACAGATCTCAAACAGAATTTTTTTTTTTCTATCAAAATTTCTTTAAAAATTACATACACTTTTAACTGACCTGTTATTTCATATGTACATTATTTAGAGTATAGATGGCATTAATTTCTATTGTAAATATAACATAGCAAGTCATTTTTGTAGACATCTTTTAATGTCACTCACAGAGTTAAAGTGTCTGCTTCTTTTATCAGCCTTCAGTTAAAACATTACAAAAGCTAAGAGATTAAGTGTAAAGGTTCCAAAGGCCTACACCACAGTGCATTGAGGCACATACCTAATTCCCAGGAGCGACATGAGATATTTGGAAAATTGAATAGTTATACACCTAACTTTTATAGAGAAAGTAAATGGATTCATTCTAATCTAAAGTAAGTGATCAATCTACAATGTACATATAATGTAAACCTGGACCCTTATCGTATATACATTTCTGCAACACTGGATGTTTCAATTTACAATGTAAATATCTGCTAAACTACACCTTTACATTGTAAAGCAATTGCCCGATTCACACGTTTCCGTTATAAAATTTACTTTCCCTCAAAAAAACATTTCCAGAAAAAGTGAAGGTTAAATTCAGTAAAATCCTGATAACATTAAGGGTACAGTTCTTCCAAAAAACTTTGAGAATCTTTGGTGTAAAGAATAAAATCTATAAAAAGCTCACAACTGTTGTATGATATTTCATATTAGAGCTAAATAATTTTTTAAGCCATGTTAGTTTTATTATGGTACTTTAATTCTGTGGATAACATTTAACTCCATTTTATAAGCTGTGAAGTATGAAGAGGGTTGAGAAGTAATAAATTTCTAGAATGTGTTAAAAAAACAATTCAACAAATTTTATTGGGATTAGGAAACACCATAGAAGAAATGTATAAACATTTGTTACAGTATTTTTATGTCAATGCAAAACAGTTATGCAATGTTTGTATCAGCAAATATATTTTTATAATTTAGATTTCTTTTCTGAAAAGAAATTAATCAGATTGAAATACAAGTTGATGCGCAATATAAGAAATATCAGTAAAGTCAAAAACAGAAAAAGTTCTTTTGAAGAATTGTGCAAAATCTTTTAATTGTGTGTAATGAGGATGGTGTGAAAATTTCATAGGTTTGAGTAATGAGGCGGAGTGTTTCCACTGCATAGATTGTCTCTTTGTCTTTGGCTCAAAGTGATGAACCTATGACTCATTCTTGGTGAGAAAACATTCAAGAAAACCAGCTGGATCTGCTTTAAACAATATCAAATTTTCCTGTGATGTGATCAGCCTGGTGCAGTATTGATCAGTTGTCAGAAGACATGACACCAACCCAGCAGAAAACTTTGTCATGCCAAGTTCATTGTGGAGAATATTCTTAACTCTCTCATGGGGTATGCTAATAGCATTGGCTATTTGATTTATCATCAGTCATCTGTCATCCATCACCATGTTGTGGTCACTATCGATGTTTCTTTTGTCATGGTAGCATGAATGTCCTTGGACGCTAAACCCTTTTTCTACAGGTACTTCATAATATCACAATGCCAAATTTTGTTCATTTTCAAGAGAAGTCGCTACTAGTTACTTTTGAAGTCTTCTTTGAACATTCAAATGTCAGTTGACCTGGAAATAAACAATACAGTCATTAAGAGGTTAAATTGATCCATACATGATTTCACAACTCTAGTATCACTCATTTATAGTCAGCCTATGAACTTTTCAGCCCACCCTTGTAAATGTTAATGTAAATTTTCTTCCTTCATTTTTGTACTGAAATACAAGCAAAGTTGATCCTTAAATCAACGTTCAACCAATAAACATCAATGATGAAGATATAAATATGAGCAATGTTGTTTCTTGGTGAAAACACTAACTTGAAGAGAGATTTTTAAAGAAAAAAAAGGACAAGTTACAAATCAAAATTGTGTTGAACACAACTGAAATCTTTCTGAAGGACTTCAGTTTTATATCCTAAGGGATATAAAATTGAGGACCCTCAGAAATTGCTTTTCCCTGGACCAAAGCAAAACATGTCACACAACAACACTACAGTTAACAATGTTAATAGAACAATACTTCATTCCGTATATTACATTTTATGCTAGTTTTGTCTCTGTATGCATGTATGTAGTTGTACATGTATGATTGCTTGTTTATACTTACTTGGTTGTATGTGTATGTATGAGTCTGACAAAAGGTTTATAGCATGTATTTTGTATATTAAGTGTCAGAAATGTTCATAAAAATTTTAAGATCAATGCCTCTGGTTGTGAATATATGAGTCAACTGTTAAAGATTTTGTGGAGTTGCTTGTTATATGATGAAAGATATTGTTTGCAGTATTTAAAAAGTTAGTCTTGATGTTCTTTTTTGCTATTTGACAAGAAACTAGTTGAGACCATGCATATATATATATTGTTTCTTCTGTCAGAGTCACTGAAGTTTTCTAGGTATATGGAATGGCCAAGAGGGTACAACAAGGCTTCAAACAGTCATGTTCTCACTTCTGCACATTGACTGCCATCAAATAGGGGTTTTTTTTGCCTGGTTTTCCTTAAAATTGGCCTACTAGAGCTTAATTTTTTCTTGACATGTTATTGGTTTAAAAATAACTTACGTATAATTATTATTAGTCGCATAATGTCTTAAGATGTTTGGATTATAATGTTGTGAATGTGTGTATGGAATTTAAGGTTCTGTGTGTTGCTGTATTGTAGGTGGGTACATGTTCACATATAAACAAATAATGTAGAAACAACAGAAACTTGGGTTTCTACTATGAAACATTTATTCTTTTTTTTTTGAGAAACTCAGGAAACAAAGTTCTCAAATTTCTCTTGGGTATCTCCATTTTCTTTTTCTGGTCCAGAAGTAAGTAAGGATAAGAATAGTTAAAATGGTTGAACTCAAGTCAGCTTTGTACTGAGTTGGAACAACTTCATGGGTGGAGCTGCAAAACATATCCGAACACTATGCATTGAAAAGTGGTAAGAGAGTTCAGTCATCAGATGACCAGGGAAAAAGAGACATTCCCCAGTAGGGCCATCTTCATTTACTTTCATCTTGAAGCAAGGAGGAGGAAGAGAGAAAGGAAATGTTTATATTTTTATAGAACTTAAACAGTGCCACCTAGTGGGTATTTGGTAAAGTCAAGTGGGGTAATAAAATTTCCAGTTCCTTTATTACTGATGTAATGAATATGCATACATCTGGGTTACCCTCACAGTAATATGATTGGCTGGTGTCAGCCATAAATACAGAATAATGCAGAGGTACATGGTTGACGCATATTACCTACCACTACGACGAGGACCAGTCCATTACAGCTACCTGCTAGATTGTCCTACCCAGTTACGATAGCACAAAACCACTTTGCTACTTCAAACAAATATATCCCTTTCTGGGACATAGCAATTACTAAAATGTATTTCTTTTTTTTATTATTATAATTATTTTATTTATTGATTTTATTGCATTTTCCCATATGCATGGTGACTTGAAGCCGATATATTTTTTATTTAAATTAGACTGACCATTTGGATCTGGAAATATCTTGAAATGTAACAAAGCTAGTCAATTTTTAACTCAGTAGAATGTTGGACTCTGAAGTGATAACTTCAGTTATCTTTCTGAAAATACTACTGTATAGCCAGCTTCAACATAACAGCTTCAACATAACAGCTTCAACATAAATATACAATTTAATCTAACCTTGATGTTTATTAAAACCAATAAACAAAGCTTTCTTATTTTTTAACGTTTAAAGTCTTTTATAGACCATTGTTGAATGCTTTTAAAATGCATCTTTTCTTTTTTAACTAAACTCTCAATAGATCCATTGAACTGGAAATACAATGGAATGTTTAAATGTATATTAACATGGCAAAATATAAGTTTTTAAGAGTATTTTCTGAAGGATTAGATATAAATCACTGAAAATTTGCTAAAAATACTGTATTAATTGGAATTATTTGAGAAATGTATTATATAAAGCATTTAAAAATCACATCAAAGATTTTATTAAGGTTATTTTAGTTTCAGTTTAGGTAAATTTGGTTAAACATATTTTAGAACCTTACAAAAAATTGATTTTTATTCAAACTGAGCAAAGGAACATAATCTGAAAATTTTATGATGTTTGGTCAAGTACATTGCTACAAAATAAATTATATATCTGTTGAGTTCTTTAGATGAAACCTCTATTCAATTTACTGTACACATTAATTAATTTTGACTTATATTGATTTTTTTTCTTCTTTTCAGAGATCAAATTAAAGACTTAAAAAACCAATTGTGCCTTGAAAAGGAATTATGTGAAACACAAGCCCAGAAACATTCAGAATCAATGGCCATTGTGGAAAAGCAATCGGTATTTAGAACATATCAACTTCTCCATTTTTTACACTATAACTATTTGGAGTTAGAGTTAGTCCTTAATGTTCCTTTCAGTTGAGATTTTTAGAGCTTTTAATATTCATTAAGTTACTGTAGTTTGAATGAAGGAAGAAGAAAAAATTGATTGTCACTTACCTTGTGGTGGGGGAAAAGAAGAAGTGTCAACAAGTGACTTATTTTATTAAAAGACATTACAGCAAACTGGGGAAGAGACAAATTGTAGGAAGGAAGGAAAACTATAAAATTCAGCTGAAAATAGGAGTGATTTTGATCATTTTGTACAAGAAAGGTTGGGAGATCCTCGATTCTTTTTTTATACTTTCAAACCGCAAGCTATTTTGGCAATATGGAGTCTAGAATGATGAGAGTGAGTATAGATGTGATACCACCATTTAGTGGAGAAGTTGATATAGTTGTGTTTATAAAGAAAGTGAAATTAGTTGCCAATCTTCAAAAAGTGCCAGACCTTGCTAGTTTCCTTCCATTTTTTCTGCAAGTGGATGCACTTACCCTCTACCTTGAAATGAGTGACAAGGACATGATAGAGACCAGACTGAAGAAAGTGTTCAATGAAGGGCCCTTTGATGCTTATGAAAAGCTCAAGTGAAATGGACTGGGAAATCAGTGGACATCTACGCTAGTCAGCAAATGAAGTGGGAGTGGTACTGTGAAAACAGTTGATAAAAGGGAATTAAAATGTAAAGGAACCTGGCAGGTGGAGATAAAGTATGTGGGGTAAGGATAAAAATGGAGGTAATTATTGTTGATTGCATCATCAACAGGATAAATATTGTCAGAATAGATGTGATTAATAAGCTAGCATGTGTGACTGTAAAAAATGATGTGATGAAGTTTGGAGACTTACACTGTCACACAGCTGCCCAAGTTCCGAACTCTTGCAAAACTGAAAACAAAGACTTCAAGGCAGAGTTCAATAAAAAGAAATTGACTGTAAAATGGAATTGGACAGGAGGGCCTCCAGTATTAAAAAACAAGGTGGAGTACTACAAGAATTCCTTGAAAGGAAAAGAAGAGTAGAGTTTGAGAAGGAGGTGGAAAGATGGATTACGGAGAGTATTCACTTGCTATGGAAGGGTAGAGTGTTACTGTTGATGGCAATGGTCCAAGCTACAAAAGGAAAAGTTAAGCCAGTACTAGACCTTTGAGAGTCGAATGCTATACTGGGAGCGACATGATCAATGTGTGTGATGAAAAGATGAGAAAGTGGAAGTAGTTGACAAGAGGAACTATGATCTGAGACCTTAAGTCAGACTACCTCACAGAGAAACTATGGCAGTACCAGCTGGTACGCTATAAGGGGAAAACCTACTGCCTGACTCAGTTGAGGTTCAGACTCAATGCTCTACTGAAAATTATGGCAGCACTCTTAAAAACTGTCCTGATAAAGGACAATAAGACGAAAGAAGTCACTGATTCATACATTGATGACATGATAGATGTAACAAAGGTATCAATGTAGGAAGTGATGGATCATCTTAAGGAATTCAGATTGACAGCAAAGCCACCAGAAGTCTTAGAAGGAGGGACAGCACTGGACCTTAAGGTGGGGAAGAGGAAAGAGTGGGTGAACTGGTGTTCAGAAGGGGCAACAAAGTTCCACGGGGAAAGCTTTTGGGGCACTACCCTATTTCTGGATGGCTGCAACCAGAAGAGCAAGCGAGATATACTGGGAATGCAAAGAAAATGATGAAACTGTCACTGATACAGGAGATCTTAGCTGAAAAAAGAGACTTGGGACATTCCTAAAACAAAATGAGTAGTATGGTATGATGCTATCAATATTGTTACAGGCATAGTCATGGAAATTGGTGGCAGATGCAGCATGGCTGAGAAAAAAAGGACGACTATAACCACATCAATATAGCTGAATTAGATGCTGTGCTAAAAGGTGTTAATTTGGTTTTCAAGTGGTGGTTAAGAGAGGTGGAAGGATTAATTAATGCCGTTAAATGTTGTTAATACTGTTTATTATAAACAGAGCATTTACTTAAATATTTGTATCTATAAAAAAGAACATAAAAATGTCTTAAAATAAAAAAAAAGAACAAAAAATGTCTTAAAATAAAAAAAAGAACAAAAAATGTCTTAAAATAATTGTTGGACTTTGTCCATTTCATAATATATATATATATATATATATATATATATATATATATATATATATATATATATATATATATATATCGAGAGAGAGCGAGCTAGGATGGGGTCTCAAGCCTTGGATATTTGAATGGCAACCTTCCTAGAGATTATATCTCAATAAAAACACTTGGACTACCGAGTTGGGAATTAGGCAAAGCATTTGGCTTAGTAAAAACTTGCCTCAAATCATTATAATAAAGCCTTTGTGCAAGATTAATCATCATCCTGTCTCAACAAAAGACACGTCTATGTACCACATATGTATATAGTAGCACTGCCTGCTCAGTCAGTGAATGTCAAATGTTTTCTTATAAGCAAACAGCTAATATTGCCCTTACTATTAAATGCATTCATAAATATGAACCTAGCATCTGTGTAAGAGTTGACGAAGGGAGATAACTCATGGAGATAACAATTTGATCCAGTTTTGTTATTTTATATCCTTTCCAAATATTTTTTTTGCTGTTTATTCATTGTTTTTGCTTTTATTATTTATAGAAAGAATCTTTGAACCAGCTTGAAAATGATCACAAACACGATTTGGAGAAACTCAAAAATGCTAATAATGCTGCACGAGATGTACTCATTGAGAAATATGAACTCAGACTAGCAAGACAAGTTTCAGCTCAGACTTCTCAAAATGCTGTAAATCTGAATTTTCTTTATTAGTTTCAATTTCTTTTTAAATATTCTTATATAATAAGAAAACTATAGTCTGATTTTCTTTTAAATTGATGACAAAAATATTAATTCGGGTAAAATCAAATGCTTAGTAACCAATAGTGAAAAGTGAACTTGGATTTAATGTTAGCAGACAATGTGCATGTTTATAGTTGATATTTATTTAATTATACTTGTATAATAAATTATCACATTGTAAATAACTATATTCATGAAAATAACTGTGCCATAAAAAATCAAAATTTTCTTTATGATATGAGCAAGCATTTCTGTTAAGTTATCTGAAAAGTCAAAGAAATTCTCCTCATTTTTCTTTTTATTAAATATTGATGTGGGTGGAGATACTAAGCCCTAAGTAGTGACAAGTCCTACAACAGATCTGACCTCCTAGATCATTTATATTGTGTCCTGTTATTTGTATAGAAAGATTATGTTTGCATAAACTGAAATATCAATTAAAACTAAAAGATGGAATGTGTTGATTGACATCATGAAACTATTTTAATTTTATTAAATTATTTTTATTTATTTAATTTATTATTTCTAGTTTATGTTTATTGTCAAAAATGGTGGCAGATTTTAAGCAATTTTGAACTGGTATTTTATAAAATTGATGTAATGAATATGCATACACCTGGGTTTCCCCTCACAGTAATATGATTGGCTGGTGTCAGCCATAAATACAGACTGATGTGGAGGTACAAAAGGACGCCTATTGTCGACGCCTATTGCCTACCACTACAATGAGGACCAGTCCATTATGGTTACCTGCTAGATTGTCCTACCCGGTTACAGCAGCAAACAACCACTTTACTACTTTGAACAAATATATCCCTTTCTGGAACATATCAAAAATATAAAAACTTTTTTTGCATTTTCTTGTTTTTATTTAATACTTTCTGAATATTGAATATGATTTCTGTATGACCACTAAAACATATAACATATAAAAATATATATGTACATTATGTTCAAAAGGTTGTCATAGCTGGGGGTGATAGTGAAGACAAACTCTCACTGTCTATAAAATGGTTCTGTGGCATGCATTTCAAAGAGCCTCTGACAATTAAGTCCAGCTGCAAACCAAAGAATGGGTGCAGGCAAAAAACTGGTGCCTCATAACCAGTTCATTCAGGTAATTGGAGCTCAACAGCCCAGGAAGGCAGTCCATTTAAGGAAAGGAAAACCCTAATTTTAAACCTCTGCAAACTTGTGATCATATCCAAAATACATAAAAAGCTTTGGAAGTAAATCCAGACAGAAAACTCAGAGTGGAGACCTGAAGTTTTGGCTGTCCACGCTGACAACTTTCTGGAAATTCCAGCCAAACCATCCCTGAATGTCCACGCTGACAACTTTCTGGAAATTCCAGCCAAACCATCCCTGAATGTCCACGCTGACAACTTTCTGGAAATTCCAGCCAAACCATCCCTGATTGTCCACGCTGACAACTTTCTGAAATTCCAGCCAAACCATCCCTGAATGTCCACGCTGACAACTTTCTGGAAATTCCAGCCAAACCATCCCTGAATGTCCACGCTGACAACTTTCTGGAAATTCCAGCCAAACCATCCCTGAATGTCCACGCTGACAACTTTCTGGAAATTCCAGCCAAACCATCCCTGAATGTCCACGCTGACAACTTTCTGGAAATTCCAGCCAAACCATCCCTGAATGTCCACGCTGACAACTTTCTGGAAATTCCAGCCAAACCATCCCTGAATGTAATACCCTGTATTCCTTTGGATCACGTTGGTACAGCTGAGGGGTGGAGACAATGTAGTCTGGGCAGTACACAGCCTCCATATACCATAGAAGGAAAACTGAATTCAAACCACCTGGTGCCTTGTAGGTCCTTCCTCTTTAACCTCTAAAAGGAGGGACAGGGTAACCTCGATATCCCTGGTGCAAAAGGAACCAGCAAAGGAACCACTTTTCTGCTTTGAATGTCACCATTTAACCACAATTGTGAGATGCAGGAGAGTGGTGACCCTGGCAGCACAAAATGTGCTAACTGAATAAATAAATAAATGAATGAATATATGACCAGAAGAATAATGAGAATTTGTGACATTAGAAAAATGTTGCACATGCAAAAAATGGGTTCAGTCAATATGCATACGCACATAAACACACACAAACATATATATAGTGATTTACTGAGCACAGCTCCGATGTAGCACAAGGTGAGGATCAAATTCGTTATTCAGTTGTAATTACACACACTCAAATGTGTGTGTGTGTAAAAATTTAGTTATAAATAAATGTATCTGTAAAGACAATAAAAGAAATGATGAGGAAAACCTTACATGCCAACACGTTTCATTTGTTAAATCTAAGTCCCTTAATAAAAGTTTCTACAATTGCCTTAAATAAAATGTGTGTGTAAAAACCTTTCCCCTTGTCATATCTATTAATAATTATCACATATATACATATATATATATTAATAATTATCATATATATATATATATACTTGACTCTCCCATTGAATTTGATGTATGAGAGTCAAGGAGATCAGTTCCTAGGAAACTGACAGCCCAACAACAGCACATGAGATTTGATTATAGTGGTGAAGGTTTCATGCAGGACCATCCACACTTTTTGAAGGGCTGAATACAGACCTGGTGCACTACATGCCACAGGGTCCCCAAATGACCCTCCACAGGTTTTGAATTTAGAGTTGTCCTTCTCTTAGCCCAATTGCCATCTAAGTCTATATAGAACACAGTCTGTCCTGCTATTTACCCATAGCTGGAGGGAGAAGAAGAGGATTCACACCTTACCCAAGGGTATTAGCACGGAAGTGAATGGAATGGATTCGACTGGAATTTGGACTTGGTTCTCCAATTCCTCAATCCAAGCTGCTATCCATTACTCCACCGTGCATGCATGTGATTTGTTTTTGTCTAGCTATTCTATTATCGCATGTTATTTTATAATCTAAACTTTCATTTAATACTAAACATTTCAAAGTTGTCTCCCTAGTCTGCAAATTCTGTTGAAAAGTGACAATTATAAAGAATTCTTTTAAATCATTAAAAATAGAAATATCCAAAGAAAGCGAATGAACAAAAAAGAAAAAAAAAAACTGTATCAATAACATAGTCTCATTAATAAGTAATTCTAGGTAGAATGCTCGCTTAAAATTGCATTTAGTATTGAACTCTATTAGAATAATGGCATATCTCATTGCTAGCTCATGAGTACAGATTGCATATATATAGGTGAAACTGTTATGCTCATCAGAAATAAATAGATTCTATTTGTGTTTGCATATTAACATTTTTTGAGGAAAATTTCATCAAATGAAAAACAATATTCCATTCATTTTCAGTCAATAAAAATTACATATTTTATAATTAATTTCTTTAAACAATAATTTTGGTTTTCATAAGTTTGTGCTGAGAATGGGGACAAAAATAAAATCCAAGTTCCATTTTTTTAAAGATGAATTTCAATTTTAAAAAAGATGAAATGTTGGTTAAACAGATTTATAACACTCAATATTGGGACAACAACAAAATCTATTTTTAAAGTTTTTATTTTCAGATAAAAGAATCACAGATTTCTTCACTGAAATCAAAATTGATTAAGCTGGAATTTGAACGAGACTGTGAACGACAAAAATGGAAACAAATACTGGTTAAAAATGTATGTAATTTATTTTGAATATTGTTTAGTTATATATTTTTTATGCATTATCCTTAAATCATGACTAAGAAAAATCAAAGATATTATTTCAGTGGTTAAATTCTAATCACTTTTTGCTCAATTATAATAATTAGAATTTCTATTCAATTTCAATTATTTTATGACTTGTTTTCTTCCATCTTACTGCTGCTTACTGTCACAACACATTCAATTGGTTTACCCTTCTGTTATAGTGGAACACACCTATTCTATTATTAATAGACTCTCCCACCTATAATAAGTAGGAGTAGCAGGATTCGCTTAGTGAGTTGTTCAGTCAGTCGATGCCGGACGACCGTTAGTCGGATACTAAAGTATCAGCAATCACGACTAGATTTCTCTGCGTCATTACCTATTATATCAAGTTCCTAACGTTTTGTACGTCGAACCTATTTTAGGACCGACTTAGTACAGATACAAGCCTCCACTGTGAAACCACTCTACAATACCTTCTACATTGTACTCAATGCCAAATTAGAAAAGAGAATAGCTTATAAAGTGAAGAAAAAAATAGTAATGAAATAATCTATACTGGTTTACATATAAATAAAATACTAGCAGATCATATTGGTTAACCAATGAGTTAAAAATAGACTGGCATGCTGGTGTATATAAAAATGATAAACACACTATATAACATTTTTTTTTTCATCAAGTAAATATGGAGTTACCAAATGAATTACCACTCACAGGCTAAACATTTAAAATGAATGTTACAGATTAAGAGTTCTAACAATCAAAATAATGGGGAAGGAATCCACATTGAACATCCTATTGTCAAGTAACTACAAATTTCTGGTTTTAATTATATCTGTTGGAATTACAAGCAGTTTTATTTCTTTACAAAAATTAAATGACATCAATGAAGAATATTTGAATTTTTAAAATTTACACTTTCATTTTTTAAAGTAAAACCTTTAGTTTTCCCATTTTTATTTATCCTAAAAAACAGAAAGCGTGCTAAGTACAGAATTAAAGACATATCTATAATATTTTAAATGGTGTGTTTGAAAACTTCATGGTACTAATGCAATGACTATGCCTCACAGTACTAATGGAGTCTTACTAAAAGAATAAAGCAAATAATTTAACAACTGTAATAATAATAATCACAACTGTCAGCAGCCAAGAATAAACAAGTGAAACTCATGAGAGATGCATCCATCTTGACTGACAAACACTTTGAGAGCAATTATCCTGATATCACATCCATGAATGCATCCTGATTGGTATTGTGATACTTTGGCATAAGAGCACTGTGAAGGTGGAGCAGGTGAAAATATAGAGGTACCCACACTTAGTAGGGCAAATCAGAGAAATTTATCAATCAGCTATTCAAGTTGTCCTTTTTGTGGTTCACATACTTGGGACTATTTCCAAGAATCTTTCTGCCTCCTCATGATGCCTTGGGGATAATTGACATTATTGGGAGTGTGCAGGTGGCAGTGCTACTTGGAACAACTCCTTTGTTGTGTCTCTAATCTTCAGGTAGGAGCTGAAATACAACCATCATCACCTGGCCAAAAAACATCTCAGACTCAGAGGGGATTATTTATATTATCTACATGTATAACTATTATCCTTCATCTTTGTTGTTATCACAACATTGTGGCCATTGTACCCTTTGACCTTCATCAGGTGCAGTGGAACAACAAAAATCTACCCCTGTAGTTCAGTGTTCAGCTTGAAATTCCCTGAAGGTTACCTAGACTGACAAACACTTGATGAAGGCTAAAGAGTACAATGACCAAAATATTGTGATAACAAGATGAGGACAATAGTCTGTGTGTAAATAATAACTCCTCGTCCCAGAAATTCAGCCTCCAGTAAGAAAGGATATCAAATAATAATAATAAGTAGGTTGTAGTTATAATGTTTTATTCTTGCCAACTTTGGCATTAGGATATATTTATAATGATCTGAGTAATAATTATAATGTTTTTGATGAGTGTCCCTGACCATTGACAGTTTTTTGTGTTAGACTGGCATGTTGTGTAAATAAGAGTCACCTTGGTACAAAGACTGTTCTTATGATAGTTCAATATCTAACTAGTTTTATCATCTACTGATAATTCATAAAACGAAAGGGTTTTTTGACTCCTACTTAAATGAACTTCAACACATAAACCTGTATGTTTTATCTATTCTGAATTGTGTCTACCAGGATGATTGGATGTTCATTGTTTTATCAAAAATGCATTCACAGATTGTTTACTTATCAGACTAAGCACAATTTTACACATTCTTTCGCTGTTAGGATGATGCCTCAAAGAAAAAGAAACAAGGATTGCAACCAACCAATACTGAAGAGTTGATGGAACAGCCACCAAACAACAACTTTGTGAGAGAACTCCATCAAAAATTAGAAAGTGCAAATAATCAGATATTAAATCTAAATACTAATAATCAACAGCTTTGCATACGGGTTGGACATTTGAGGGAGGTAAGACATGTTCTTAAATAGACTGTTTACTTGGAATTTCTTATAAAAGAAAAAGCTATTAAAATCAAAATTCAACCATTTTTTTGCTATTAGGGAAAGTAAGTTATTTCACAGAATATTTTAGATATCGGTTATTAAAATCAGTTGTGTTTTTTTCCTTTACTATTTGTAATAGTAACGTTTAATTCTACTAACACATGATCTTCATTGGGGAATTTCATATAACCACTTCTACTCTAACACTTTCTTTTCTCACACTTCCCACCTGTGGAACTCACTTCCGTTTTCTTGCTTTGCAGATAACTACAATCTTCAAAAATTTAAATGCAGCATCAATCGCTATCTTCTGTTTTCTTGAACCCTGTTCCTTTTTTATCCTTTCTGTAATGATAACAGCCACTTAAGAGTTATTTCCCTTAGTCTAGGGCACACACTGACACTTGGAAAAATGAAACATGTCTCCTGTCTTTAAATATTACATGTTGTCAGCGGAAAACTGAAAATATTCACAGCAAAAAAGGAATATGCTACCTAACAATAAAAATAAGAAGAAGAAGGTCATGCCAAGTCGAATGGACTTAAGACCTTCTTTTTGGATGAAAGAAAGTAAAACTAGCAATGAACACAGCTCCAGCCATTTCCGAGATTTTTTAAAAACAAAACAAAAAAAAAGAGAAAAGTGTTTGCAGTAAAAAAAAATTGTTCACTGGAACAAACAAGTAAGCACTTTTTAAACATCTTATCGTACTGTATTCCACTTATTTGAATTGTTTTTCAAAATGGATAATAATGTATGCAAGCCAACAATGTGCTGGACTTCAACAAATCTAGTTAATTCATACAGATTATTCAAACATTTTCTGTGAAAAACTTTCCAGACATTTTCTGTGAAAAACTTTCCAGCTGACAAACTAGTTGACTAAACTTTGTTGTTATCTGGAGAAGAAGGCCTAAGAAGGTTCAACTCATGGACTTTCATGAACAAAGCCAATAAAAATAATCCTCAAATTATTTGGTGGAAATTCAAGGAACAATTAGAGCCTCAAATAAACTCTCACACCACTAGTTTTTACCTTCATCTATACGCATAAAGAGATACAGAAAATATCGATGTTTTTATAACAAGGTGCAGATTGCAAGTGAACAAGTGTAAGTTCTGAGATGTCATAGACACTGAGGAACGGTTACTAGAGCAGGTCATCTCTGGAACTAAACACACAGAGCTGCAAAAGGTGAAGGTTTGACACTTGAGGAAGTCTTGAATATAGCTAGAGTTCACAAAGCTTCAATAGGCCACATGAAGCAACTGGCAGATATTCAAGATGGAATGTGCTAGGAAATTGACTCAGTAAAATACAGCAGCTGCAAACAATGTAGCAACATGCATTCCCATCAGAAAGAAAAGTGTCCTGCATGGGGTACTACATGCTCAGCAGATGGACGAAAAAACAACTGAGCTAAAATGGTGCCAAGTACTTTTCCAAACTGAATGCTAAGAATGGATACTGGCCGATCAAGCTTGATCTTGAATCACAGCTACTGACAGCCTTCAACTCTCCTTTTGGAAGGTATTGCTTCCAGAGAATGCCTTTTGGTCAAGTCATGTCCCAGGATGTATTCCAGTGAGCAAATACATCCTTGTCTTACACCACTTCCTATCTTTGTGTACCTGCATAATTCATTTTCTATCTATATGCAGACAGTTTGCTCCCAGTATAAGTTATGGATGATGCTAACATCTTTTCCAAATAAATAAAGCTTATCTAATAGTTCAAATAGGTCTTTGTGCTGTACCTGATCAAATGCTTTTGCATAATCTGTAAAACATATATGTACTTCCTTTTACATTTGAATTGCTCTCTCCAATATCATTCTGATCATAAATATAGCTTTCTTGTTCCAGTGTCCTTGACAAAGCCACACTTTTCTTGTCCTATTTCTGGTCCAATTCTACTTTACATTCTATTTAACAGAATTCATATTATTAGCTTGATTATATGGTTAATTAAGCTGATTATCCGATGGAGCTCACATTCATTTGCACCTAATTTTTTTACTGTTTAAAAATAGGACGTTTATTGCAATAAGAAATATATTTTATAATAATGACAGAACAGAGATGCTATGAAGACCGTTCTCAATGTAAAATGTTAAAGAAAATACAAAACACAGCCAATATGAATCAAAGAATATTACTGCTTTTTGCAACTAAAAGTTAAGATACTCAGTTAATAAGATTTAATTTGTGGTATTAATATTTATAGTGTTAGTCAAACTTGTTTGTTTGAACTATTGCTATCAAAGTACACCTGATTTAAGATACATGACCCTGCAGAGAACAAAGATACTAATGCCACAAAATTTCAATGTTCTCTTATAGAAAGACAATGAATGAGATGATTGAAAATACTTGAAAAAAAATAAAATTCAGACAGTTGATTCACAATGTTGATCCTCATGTACATCTTATTCAAAAATTTGAAAAATGCAATAAAATTTAAAGAGAGACTTTGTCAGTTAAATGAAACATTTTGGAATACACACACACACACAAATAATAATAAAAGGTATTTAAGTTGACCTTTCAGCTCACTTCTCTGCATATGAAATTTGAAGTGGTGAAGACAGTTGAAAGGTCAAGTTAAATACCCTTTATTTTGATTTATGGATTGCTCTGTATCTTTTTATTTGTTACATTGAGCACTGTTTTTGATTCTAATGTCAGCTTGTGTTGATTTTATAATCATAGGCAAGGTGGAGTAATGGATAGCGGCTCGGATTGAATTGGAGAGCTGTGTCCGAATTCCAGTCGAATCCATTACATTCACTTACATGCTAATAACCTTGGGAAAGGTATGAATCCTCTTCTTCTCCCTTCCAGCTATGGGTAAATAACAGGACAGATCGGGTTCTATAGCCTTGGATGGCAACTGGTCTACTGCAGAAAGAATTAGCAACCTACTGCAGAAAACAATCTGCCTTGTCAGTCATGTATTGAAAGATGCATGATTGCCTAAGCATGTATCACGCATGGCATATAACTGACTGACTGATATTACTGATACCCCCTGATGAGTTCACTCCAAGCAAGGCAAGAGTGGCACTAGCTTGCAGGGAGATATAGAGAGTGAAAGTGAGAGAAAAAACTGCATATAGGGAGGGGGGATTGAAGAAAGGATAAAAGACGAACAGGATTCAAGTTAACAGAAGATGATGGTTGACACTGAATTTAAATTTTTGAAGATCGCAGTTGTGAGGGAAGCAAGAGGAAGATAGTTCCACAGTCAAGAAGTGTGAGAAAATAAATTGTTGGAGTAGAAGTGGCTGTTGCATTTAACTATTTCAACAGTAAAATGGTGGGACCTAGATACCAATCTAGTAGCACACTTAAATTTAGGTGCCTCCATGTGATTGCTAAAAAAATAGCATAGCATAATGAAAAAGATGCCAAACTTGATGAAAACAAAATTTTATCATCTAAATGTTTTTGTTATTATTAAGATGAAAGATCAAAGTATTTTGGGGTATTTTTTACATTTTTTAATTGTTCCTAGCACATTCAAAATTTTCATTAAAAATCTTTTTTTTTTTTTTTTTTTTTGAGTCAGCAAAATTGACAGATAATTGATCATGCCAACCATTTCCCATTTTATAAAAAAAAAATGAAAATCTCATTTTCAAATTCTTTCAAAAATCATTTATAATTTTTTTCAAAACTTATGTTAAGAAAATTAGAAATTATAATGTTTATTTAAAATATTTTGAAACAAGTATTACTTAGTTTCTGTGCCGAAAAGAAGTAGTTTAAAAATAAAACAAAGCAGGTCATAACATTTCGCATCACTTGACAGGTGATGAGAGATGATTTCATCATGTATTGACAGCTTATGTGAGGAAAAGTTATCATACAGGAGGACAGAAGTGATATAATTATTTAGATTTAAGTGAACAAATTATTTACCTTGTTATTTTTAAGGAAAACTTTCAGCATTCTATTTTTTTTTTTTGTACTTAGCTTTCACTTTTAAGTTTACGATGCTTTATGGAAAATATATAAAAAAATTAAAATAAACATGTTGAGAGAGAGATTAAATTTCATGAGAAAGATATCTAATTAATTTATAGGTACCTTTATGAAATTTTATCAGAAGTGTACATAAAATACTATAATTTTATGTACATTTATTAAATTTTACTGTGTTATTTGTATTTCCATTCATTTTATTATTAATTTTGATATTTCATTTATGGAAAAATGTCATAACTGAGATTAATATAAAAATAAGATCATATAAATTTCATAAGATAATACTAATACTTGTAGATACCCTTCTCAGTTGAAATTGAAAAATCAAATTAACTTCTCCACATGTGTTTCGCAAAAATAAAGGCCCTAACAGTGGAGAACAATGCTTAACTCAGGTAATGTGACTTAATTGTATTCATGCTGGTTTTCCATACTTTTTAATTACAGCCGTTTATAAACACAAAATTACATTTCGTAATTACTGCGGTTCTTCTGATTGGTCGAAGCTATACAAATTACAATGCTGTAAAAAAATGATCTACCTCATAATGCCATTTACGAAACTGAATGCGGCTTTCAACTAATTTTATATTTTAACAAATTAAATGTAAAAATCTAAAATAATTAAAGAAATAACAAATAATTGTATTAAAAATTGATTTTTCATCAAAAAAGACTTTTTCTTTCAGAAAATATTGTCCATATTCATAAAAACAACTAAAAGCAAATAAAAGCATTTGAAATTAGATAATATCTTTGTTTTGTATGTTGCAATTCAGAGCTGATTTTTTTTTGGTGGGGGGTCCAATTAAAAAAAAATGATTTTCTTTCCTCAAAGGCTTGTGCTTTTAACTAATATAATCACTAAACTGAACAATGCTGAATTTCTAGAGTTTTCATAAAACTAGTTGGGGGGGGGGTAATAAATATAAAAAAATATTTTTGCTATGACTTTAAAAAAAGAAAACATTTA